ATTGTTTATCACTAAAATACTTTTGTATCTTTTTTTATAGATGTGTGAAAAAGTTCAAATTGTGTATAGTGGATTTTGGGATGAGAATAACAATGCACATTGCAGATGAAGGTTGTCAAATCTCTTTGAACAACAACAAAACACCTTAAATTACTACATGCACTCAAGGTAAAATAACAGAGAAGATGCATACAGAAACATACCAAAACACAGAGAAGATGCATGCTTTCCAAATACACAGTTCAAATTCCAAATTACTAAATTACCATTTTCAGCAGCAACTCTATGTACAGAAATCGAACAACCAAGAAGAAAACAAATCTTCAAAACTGCTAGCAAATCACAAGAGACGTCGAGGTAGTATGACAAAAATATTTTAACTCAATTCTTTCAAATATATATTACAGANAATTCTTTCAAATATATATTACAGACGCCATTCAACACATGCTTTCAGAAAATACAAAAGTAACTATCAAAGTATAAATAGCTAAAAGAAAATTTTCATAAGCACATGACCAACTAATAACTTCACATCCTTATTCTCCAATATCACCATAACCCTAATAGAATAGCTCAAAGAGGTATCTAAATCATAAACTAATGTACATAAAGCTTTTCAGGCTTCCAAAGCTCAAGTACTCAATAAACNACCTTCGTCTGCAATGTGCATTGTTATTTAAACTACATAACCCTGTTGATAAATTTCTGCTCTAGAAACGCATTTTTACTGTTTGGGGCATGTCGAACTATAACTTGATGTCTAAAAGTACTATCTAGTATCAAATGAAGGTAAGATTGGAAAATTAATGACTCTTACACAAGCCTCTTCTATACTATTACTAGGTTTTTATTTCTTGCGTATGAATCTTGAGCAGTAAAGTTTCTTGCTTATAATTTGACATAAGTGGCATATAATTTACTTTTTCTTATTTCATGTACTATATTACTCACTTTGCCCAATAAACATGTACAGATTATTCATTTTTCCTTCCACAATCACAGAGTGACATCATAATGACTTCTCCTACAACTGAGGTTAGTTTTTTTTTTTTCCATTTTTTAAGTTTTTTTTTTTTCCATTTTTTATTGCTCCAAATTCACTTGTGTTTCATTTTTTTGTTTACTTTGTTTGGTTAACAAATAAGGTTGTACATTTCACTTGAAATTATGTATTTACTTTTTAGTTCTATTAACTTAATTATGTTGAACATCACAGGATAATAATTGGAAATGGAGGTGGAATAGCTCTTGTTATTGGATCGGTAAAGTGAACTGCCATACGAAGCCTGAGGTTATTCACCATATCAACGAAACGCTATCTTCGAATCGTTTGGGAGAGTTTGAGCGGTCATGTTTTGGTCACTTTTTAAAGTTTCACGACAATGCATATAACAGTGGCAAATTACTTTTGGCACTGTTTGGGAGAGAGGTAGAGATTGACAACCCTCGAGAAAGAGAACGTTATTATCGTATTGGTGGTCGCAATCACAAGTTTGGGAAGGAAGAGTTTTGTGCGATCACCGGGTTAAGATTCGGCAATTCAGA